GGAATTCTACCGAGAGGGATGTGCAGCCTCGCACGTCAACGACACGAATGCGACCCAACGAGTCGCCATACACAACCGTACCATCCTCCGGTATGTATAACGCCTTGCGGATACGACATTCAAAGCGCCGCCCCAGGCAAATGCGGTACACGACAGCCTGCTTAACATAGGAGTACACAAAAAGAATGCCAATGTCAAGAATGACAAGGAGGAGGTTTTGGTTTTGTTCATTCAAGAAGATGAGATGTACAACAGCGCCTTTTCCCTCCTCCGTCTTTTCTCGCAGGACACAGTCGTGGGTAGGCGCCCCACCCCGAAGGCTAAAGAAAAATATCCTTGCGTCACCTGTGCCCACACAAAGGTACGCATCCCGCACGACACAGCAAGCGGTTATAGAGGCCAGGGATGGCACACGCAGGAGAACAGATTTACTCTCCTCAATTCCACTAGGGAGGATCGAGCCCGTATTGAACGTTGTGATACGGCATAAACGTGCACTCCACGCAATCAATTTATTTCGATGCGACATCAAGTTTACATCCGAGTCCAATTGCTCTGAAACGTCATGAACCAGCATCTCCGCCGCGAGAGGGAGACAGGTAACCGGATCCCATGTCAGGATTGATGCATCCTGACCTCCTGTCACTAGCCGTACTTGTAGGCTCGTCGTCCAAGAACAGGACGCAACGGTGGCTCTTTTCAAAGGCATATGTTCCATACGCGCTACCCGGGGAACGTTCACTTGCCGGATAATTACACCTGTATCTAAGTCCCACATCCGCCAACCTTCCTCATCAAATGTGTGTAAACGCAATGCTTGCCTTTGCACAGCCATTGCCACGACACCGCTGCGGTGAGACTCCACACGCCGTGATTCTACAACACCCACTGCGCTCAGATTCCTTTGCTTCGGTTTGACGTCCTCCGCAATGTCACGGACATCTCTATTGCTGAATGCCCCGCGCTCGTCCTCAGGGAAATTAATCTCTGTCTCGCCAACAGACTCTGTCTGAAGCTGATTTTTTGACGGTTCGTAAACGACTGTCGCCCGGAGACAACAAATGATAGAAGAATTATATGGATGCCACGCCACAACACCGTCTTCATCAACGGCAGAACGTTCCATCATCTGCCGTGTTGCATCAGTCGCAGTGAAGTTCGAGTCTGGTGTTGGCTGGGCAATGGTGGCAAGTGACTTATTGCCATGGGTCTCGTACACCTTGATGGTTTTATCGGAAAGCAGCACTGCAAGCCGCTGTCGCCGTGGGTGCAGCGCCGCACTGACCACCTCCTGCGTCTCGGATGGAAACTGGTGCAGAGGATCGCCGTAACGCCCTATCACCCACAAGACGACACGACGGTCCACGTGAATCGTGACGTAAAACTTGGACGGCGGCCACCACTGCATCGAGCGGATGGCTCTTGCCTGCTGGGCGACAAGTCGTGACTCCCCGGAAGGCTTTCCTGTCGGACCGAGCGGGGTGCGGTAAATACAACCATCTGCTCCCGCCGTAAAGACGGATGTGACGTAGGAGGTGTAGAATACGCCCACCACCGCCCCCGCATGGACCTCCGTCAGGAAGAGCAGGCACACAGGTTTGCTGTTCGCCCCGGCCAGCAGTGCGCTCGGGCGCACATCCGCGGAAATATCAAAGGCCCCAACGGCGCCGGTTGCTGTACCAAAAAAAAAAATACCAGAATACTTGTCAAACCAAGACGCCGTCGGTGCGTCAAAACCCACCACAGGCTTTGCAGGAAGAACTTTTGAAAAGACACAATTTTGTGACTCACGACGACGGGCGTGATAGTGCTCCGCGGTTTCATCCTTGCGCAACTCCACACGATGTCTACCGCACTCACCGGGCTTCATCCCATAGCGCTGAATGTTGTTGGCGGACAACTGCACAACCTCATAGAGTGCCGTCTGCAGTGAGATGCATCCAACATACTTCTGGAGAACGTTGCCCTCTGGGAAGTCCAGCACTGTCAATTGACTTTTTGTCGTCGCGATAAGAATATAGTCCTCATCGTGCAGCAAAAACATCCCAATCACCCATGCGTTTCCTGCATTATAGAGATTACGCATAAATATGCCTGTTTTCCCATTCCACAGTTTCACAACACCGTCTTTGCTGGCAGTGACGACGCAGCCCGTCACGGTGGACACCAATATGTGATCAGCAGACTGCGCATGCAACTCACTTCCAGTGAACACATCCGTTTCCGTGTCCCCTCGGCCCTCCGTCACCCTTGACCAATCCGCATCAAGACCATCTTTACCGGCCACAGAGCGGAGAAGTGAGGAATTTCCAGATGTTAATTCCGTTCGTACTCGGGTGAAGGACAACTCCTTCTCGTCCACTTGATGAAAGCGCTCATAGTCCCTCACTAAATTTGTTGTCAAGTCGCTCCATCGCACAATCTCGTGTCGCGCTGGTTCCTTCCTCTGAGTCTGTGCATGCCCGGCCGGTCGATTGTATCTCAACAGCATGCGGACGACCGACCGAGTTCGTCCAAAGCGCCCTCCTCGCGGGGCGCCCTCATGACTACTGGCGGTGGTAGTAGCAGAATAGCCACCACTCTTATTGCTACTTGAAGCCCCCTTATTGAACGAACTGGCATATGTACTGCTGTTCATACTGTGTTCTGCTCGTGCTAGCTCCGCATTACTTACCTCACAGGCATCCCATAGCGGGTCATGTACAGAAACCCCAATGGAGAAAGAGCTGGCCCACCGCAACACTTCCTCCTTATAAAATTGCATCTTTTCCTCATCCAGCAGCTGCACTCCACACACAGTCGCCTCCTCAGTCCCTACGCCACTGGCGGGCAAATTGAGATGATCCCCAAGAAACTGCATCATGTAGTGAACAAGCCACTCCTTCGTGATGGCGGGGTCTCCATCGTGTGTGATGCTCCGCTCCGCAAAGCACCTCTCCAGTCGCATAAAATCCTCGACGCCCATAAAGAAACCCCACGAGAGGGTGGAGGGGAGGACTTGGTTCGGCACGTAACGTGTCGCCAGACGAACCCCAAGCGTCACTTCATTTTTTGGCTCTTCCATGAGTCCTATCTCCCCTCACCCCCTCTTCACGCTTTCCCTCGGCCTCCCTGTTTCCCCTTTTGCCTTTTCTTCAGGCCT